GCGGCGACGCCGCGAAATCCCCCACGGCCCGGCTTCTCCCGGCACGTCCCCCACGTAGGGAGCCGGCGCGGGGGCGGGAGGCTCTCTCGGGCGCGCATGGTCGCGCGTGGCGGAGCCCGGTCCGGCGGAGGGACGCGGGGCGCGAGAGGAGGCGCCGCCCGAGCCGGGCGCGAAGAGCGGCCCCGGGGAGTCCGCTGCCGGCGTGGCGGGAGGCGGCCCCTTCCCGGGAAAATTGGGGCTCGGCCCCGGGAGCTCCGCGGAAGGCGGGTGCAGAGGTGGGCGCTCAAAGCGAGCCGCGCCTGTGCCGGCGTGAGCGGGAGAGCCCGGAGGCTTCTCGGTCCCCGCACCCGGTGTCCGCCCCGGCCGGCTCTCGCGGGCCCGAGATGCCGAGTGCCGAGTCCCACCTGCGTCCTCCCGGCAGTGCATCGCCCCCACCCCGGCCGCCCGGCCTAATCTCCGTTTGGCGGATTTGTGTTGCTAAACCGAGAACGACTCCCCACAACGCCCTCCCCGGAGGCGCTGGATCCTGAGCTCTCGGGAGGGCACACGCCCCCGCTAGGCCGTACCCCCGGGCGTGCTCTTCCTCTTGCGCACCCTGGCTCGCTGGCGTCGCGGGGGGCACCTCGGGCGCCCCCTCCTAGGTGCCGCCTTTTTCACTTCCCCAGAGGAAGTTAGCCGGGCTGGGAGGAATCCTTAGAAAAACGTTCAGCCTTCACCGAGGGAAGGGAGGCGCGGAATCAGGCGGTTACGCACCTGCTTTGATAGCTACCGAAGCGTAGGTTCATTGCCTCTGTGTGCAGGAGCCTTCCTGTCTTACAAGATGACCTGTCATGAGCTCAAAACACAACGAAGGGGTTACTGTCCTGATTCAACAGGTCATCAATCAGGTTGAGGCTCGGCGACGCCATGTATCTTGCCAGACTTCGTACAACCAGGAAGTTGTAGATCCCAGAATTAGGTCTGTGTGTTTTCAAAGCCAAGGCGCAGCCCTGCAGTTTGCTGTCCTTTCTATTGTCTGTACGCAGCCTCTCTGCCTGAATAGGCCATGCTCCTGGGACCAAGGCTGCACCATGTGGTGCCCTGAGATGCACACAGCCCCGTCCCAGAACCTCTATTCCAGACTTGGATCCTGGGGAACCCTGGCCAGGCCTACCGAGGGTACAGTGGTATCAAAGGGAGAGGACTGGTCCAGTACATTCCTCCTTAGGAACATTAGGGGCCTGACCGCTGCTGTCACCAACTGAAGAATACCTCAGATGTGACCCTTGAAGCCAGAGCCCTCAGTCCAGAGCTCAGTCCACACCTCCTGGCTTTCTGGCTGGGACGCAGAGTCACCTTCCTGAGCTTCCTCATTCATAACCTGGAGATACTAAAGCCCCCCCAGCCTCCCATGGTGGTTGTGGAATACCTGCTTGTATAATACACACTTAATAAATGGTGAGCCTTATTACAAGTTTGGGAACCTGACAAGGGCTTTGCACTTGTATTCCAATTCCCACTGAAGGCCCTGAGAGGGCCTCGCAACTTTATATGTGTAATTTCAAAATATTTTCCAAGGAGGTCCCCTAAAATCATACTGTCTTCAAACCCCACAAAACCTGGATCCACCCTCAGGGTAGGAGCGTTATAAACCAGGGACAGAGATTTTCTGGCATTCATCAAACCCCTACACTGCCCACACGGCCATAAAGTAAAATTGGGAGAAGGAGAACGATTTGGTTGTTCTCATCTGCCATTTGAGGCCTGCCGATGCAGTGCTGCGGGACTTCCAGGCTGGAAGCTCGGTGAGGGTCAAGAACTGTGCTTTGGTAATCACTCCGTCTGCCACACCTAGCGCTCAAAGGTGAAATGAGTCCAGTGCAGTGACCAGGAGCATTAGGAGTATACATATGCCTCCACCTAGGCCCCTGCCACCACCGTGGCCCTGTTGCATCTGTGATCTCTTGGCTGAGCTGGAGCTGGGGAGAGGCTGAGCCTCCCAAAGTTCCAGGCTACCCCGAGACGTTCTGTTTGCAGGCAGGGACGCTGCCAGTGCTTTCCCTTCCCTGACCTTTGAGAAACTGCTTCTCAAGGTGTCTCCTTCCTCCCCACCCCTTGAACACACGCAGGCCCCAAGATCCATCAGTATATGCTGAGAAATATTTCTAGGCCTGGCCCACTGCTTCCTCCAACCTCTTGACTTCATTGTCCTATGCCAGAAATATCACAAGAGTCTTCCAGCTGCCCTCCCTGGTTCTTAGCTTCCTACTGTCCAAGTCATTCTGAAGTCCAGGCCACGTTATTCCTGCTAAGAAGCAGCCTAATCACATCATAGCCCTGCCCCAAATCCTTTGATGACCCCCCGCCCCCACCTCTTCCTGACCCAGCCAATTGAAACATCTCTGCCTGGTGTCTCAGGCCATCTGTGATCTGACTGTACTACCCCCCACTTATCTCTTCCTCCACCCTGGGCCGCAGCAAGGCCACCTCCCACTGTCCTTGGCCTGCCGAGTCCATTCCTTTTAAGCCCCTGCACACATTTCCTTGCCTGCCCTGCCTTCTCCGCTCACCTCCCGCTGACCAAGTGTCTGTCTCACCGAGGGCCCAGCTCTCCCATCCTTCCCATGAAAGCCTCTCCTGAGCATGGCCACTCACCCCAATCTCCCAGGCCTCAGCACTTCCACAGGGCAAACTCGGACTGTGCTCAGAATACATCTAGATCTAGACCAAGACTCTTCTTTGCAGACTGGGAACCTGCAATGCACCGAGGGAGCCATCTTGTCCAGCGTCAGCCTGTGCTAGAGGCTGGAGCTGGGACTTAAACACAGTTCTGATGCCCAGCCAGGGTTCTGTCCATCCTTCCCCCCTCCCCCCACCCACCTCAATGCAGCCTGGGCCTCGGATAAGTAACACTCACTCATAATAGTCTGTCTGATACTGTCTTCTGGGGGGGACTGGTCTTATCGGCCCCCATCAGATAGCTTCGAGACCAGAGGCCATGTTACACCGCTGTGACTGCTCCCAGGCTCAGAGCTGGGCCTGTGCCCTCTATCATGCCAGGCATCATCTCATGCACTTCTTTATTATCCCACTTTCTTTTGCTGCCATAGAGCTGCTCGACCCCAGCTAAGCCCCTTGCTGATTACTCTCTGAACTCCGAGGAAGAGCAACAAGGACCTTGACCATTGGAAATCTAGTTCCACGCATCTCCCCTCACCCTTCAGATGGCCCTCCTCTCTGGCCGAAGTCCCCTGGGTGTCTCTGTTCATTTACTGTGCTCCCTCCTGGAGGAGTTGGGGCAGGAGTCAGGCCATGCCAGGCCACCGCCCACAAAATGCACCCGCCAGTAAGAGAAGGCAGGCAACAGCTAAGTCACGATGTAACAGTTCTCAGGGGACCCAGGGCCCTAGGAATGTTACTCCAGAAATTCTCGCCAGTGGATCGAAGCGGTACCCCAGCACCTGGGAGCACACTTCTAACAGCAGTGTTTGCATAATACTGACGGTTTACAGAGCATTTATTTTTTCATTTATTGCCTCATTTCTCCTGATAACACGCTGATGAGGCAAATAGAAGGGCAAATATCATTATCCCCACACTTAATCAGTCCATGAAGGTTATGGAGGTTACAGAGCGCGTTTAAGGTCTCAGACAGTGAAAGAGAAAAAAGAATTATTGAGGCTAGCATGCACACCACTGCAACATGTGGGAATCCTGGGTGGGGCGGGGGGACCACTGTCACGCAAAGCGCATTCTGAGAAGAAGCACCAGGTGGAATCCTGACCCAACATTTCTATTAGTTATGTCTGCGGTTTTCAACCCGACTGCACAAGAGTCACCCCGAGGACTTTCACAAGTGCTGATGCCCAGGCCTGGCCTCAGGTGATGGCTGAGTTGACCTGGAGTGGTGGCCAAACACCAGCTTTTATTTAGGAGTTGCCCAGCTGAGTCTGAGGGACTGCGGGGAGTGAAAAGCACTGACATGAGAACATCCGGAAGAAATTTCTGAAAGGAACCCATCGGTACTGGTTTTTGCAGTTTCTGTTGGACAGTGCTGAGGGCAGTCCCTCCAAGGTCCTAGCGGACCTGCGGCTGGGCAGCACATGGGGACGAAAGGTCACAGTGACTTTCTCATCAATTCTGCAGACACTTGTGCTCCTTTGTGGAAGCCCCTGGAGCGGCTGGGGATGGAGAATCGCATTCCTAGCCTGTCTCCCTGCCTCTCTCATTGGTCCAAAGTTCTGCCTTCTGACAGCATCGGAACAGAGGTTATAGTTGGCAACCACCAGGCTAAAATATGGCCTACAACGTATCTTATTTGGCTCGCCTAATATTTTATAAATATGAGGAAGCGCTTAAAAGTCAGGAGTTTCGCTTTAAAACCCAGGTTCCCAGGGCACCTCAGTAGCTCAGTTGGGTAACCGTCTGGCTCTTGACTTTGGCTCAGGTCGTGATCTCTCAGTTTGTGGGTTGGAGCCTCACATTGGGTTCTGCACTGGCCTGCTTGGGATTCGCTCTCCCATTTGTGTGCTCTCTCTCTCTCTCAAAATAAATAAACTTAAAAAATAAAGTACAGTAAAATAAAATAAATCCAGATTCCCCACATATTAGGTCTGGTCACACAGGCCCAGGTTATCACGTGGCAAGCTCAGTTAGAACTGAGCAGCCACTGCTCCCTTCAGACAGTGCAGGGGTACTGCAGCTGGCCCCAGGCCCCACCCAGTCTGCTCACTTCACTGATACACACTAATGTCTGCCCCCGTAGGCCTTTAAGTTTTCAGCCCCTGATCACTGGAATTTACAGACACAAGGCCTCAGGTGTTAGGGCTGGGGTTAAGATGAGGCCAGAGAGGTGCCTCAGGTGCAAGATTTGAATACAAGATTTAAATCTTGCACACAAATGCACCTCTCTTGCTTCACCCAAGTCCCACCTCTTTTAGGATCATAAAGGTCTCCGCGCGGCCGCCCCTTGCTCAACCATGACCTGTTTACCTGGCTCAGAAAGGATCTGATGCCCAGAGATGCCTCTCTCAGCCTCTGTCCCAAGAAGGTCTCTACTTCCCTTGGAGGATGGCAGTCCCTCAAGGGAGTGAGGAAGGCCCAATCTGGCCCTGTGGCTTGTTGGACATCCCATCATCATTCCATTGCCTCTGAACCCGGTAAGCCTCCTATGCAAAAGAATGATGGCCTGGAAGGGTTATCCAGACTGCTGAGGCCCGCCTGTCTTCCGCCCGGCTCCTTACTTCAGGCCAGTTCCCTTCCCAATGGAAGCTCATATCTCATTGGAACAGAGCAATCTCAAAAGTCACCTTGCTGATTACCCCCAAGTTTCCTGGGATAGTTCTCTCCAACGCCCACACACAGCCACCATCACAGGGCCGACAAAAAATCTTTAATCCTGGCCTGTTAGAATTAACACCTGGGGAGCCTGGGGGGCTCAGTCGGTTAAGTAGCCAACTTCAGCTCAGGTCATGATCTCAACATTCATGGGTCAGAGCCCTGCTCCGGGCTGTGTGCTGACAGCTCAGAGCCTGCAGCCTGCTTTGGATTCTGTGTCTCCTTCTCTCTCTGCCCTTTCCCTGCACAAGCTCTGTCTCTCTGTCTCTCAAAAATAAAATAAACATTAAAAAAAATGTTTTTAAAGCATTAACTCCAAAACATAGGAGGAAACGTTCACATAGGAGAGTCCACGTCGACACCTAGGCAGGTTCCTAGGCTGTGGGACTTCAGAGGCCAGCAAATTAAGCACACGTATAAATAAAAACTAAGGTACTGTCTTTTCACTTTGCTAAGAAAAGATAATTTTTTAGTTACAATTTCCATATCCTATCACCATAATTTCCCAAAGGAAAAGATGTTTTAAGTCAGGGAAAGAAAAATAAGGGCTGCTTTTTAAGTGAACTACCTTGGGCATTATAATGATAGCTAGTTTTCAGGTCGAACTTACTGTGCACCGGGTATTGTTCTGAATTCTTTACTTAGATTCGCTTCTTTGACCCTGAGAACAAACTAATGAGAAACATGCTACTTATTTCGCCATTTTATAGATAAGACTATTGAGTCGCAGGGAGGTTAAGTGACTTCCCAGACAGTCTGGCTCAAGACCACCCTGCTGTTCTAACAAGGTGAAATATTCATTTTATCATAGAGTCCTTATTTCACTTATTCTATACAGGCCCAGTGATGGCTCAGTCACAGAGGGATCCAAAAACCTGTATTAGGGAGCTTCTCCCCTGGGATACTGAGTCATGCTTGGTTAGATTTGGAAAGTGCGGCACATGGACCCTGGCTCTGCAGAGCCCTCTCTTAAAAAGGGCATTCTCAGACCACATGGTGAGCAGATTCGCCTGACCGGAGGGGCTAGAAGGGAGGTATGGAAGCAGTTGCCCTTCCCAGGGGGCTGAGGGTGGGGGGGTGGGCATCTGGCTTGGTAGATTCAGCTGGGCTGACTGAGTGTGCTATCTTCTGTGGGTCCATCCCACTGTGCCTTACCCAAAGAATCGCTGTTTGTATTTTTTTATAAATTTCTTTTTTTTAACGTTTATTTATTTATTTGGGGAAGGAGGGGCAGAGAGAGAGGGGGAGGGAGAGAATCCCAATCAGGCTCTGTGCTATCAGCACAGAGCCCAAAGTGAACCATGATATCATGACCTGACCCAAAATCAAGAGTCAGACTCCCAACCACCGAGCCACCCAGGCACCCCCCCTCCAAAGAATCCCACGTGTCACAAGTCCAGCCCCCATTTCTCTCCTGAACCCCAGACCCATGTTCCAACTGCCCATGAACATCAGCTCCAAGACCCCACAGGCGCCTGAAAGTTGGTATGTCTCACATCACAGTCCTTTCTTCTTAAACTTACTCTCTTTTCTCAATTCCCCAGGTTGTCATTTACTCATTCAACGAACATTTGTGAAGCACCTAGTCTGCTTGTACTTCCTAATCACTGGATATGGGCAGGTGAGCATGACAGAGTCTCTGCCCACACATTCAGGTGGGGAGGGACAGACAGTAAACAAGTCACAAATTAAATATACATCAGCTCAGGGGCTAGGAGAAAAAATAAAGCAGAATGTAGGTGACACATCTTACAATTTCCATTTCCCCTTTGTTCTAACAAAGGAAGAATCGCTTCTCAGCCTTTTGCTAAGATCAAGTGTTCTAACTAAGAAATGCTCCGATTTTTAGCGGAATCCAGCCCCCACCTCCAGCTCCCTCCAGAAGAAAGACTCCATCTACCATGCAACGAGACGTGGCCAGGGGAGTGAGTTTTGGCCAAAGAGATGAAAGTGAGGGCATCCCATGCTAGCTTCCTGAAGCCTCCCTTAGGACACAGTGATTATGCAGCCTTTCCTCTTGTCATTCTTCCTTCCTACTGGATGAAATACAGACAGACTGGCTAGAGAACCAGGAACATTTTGGATTATGAGATAACCTTGGGAATGGCAGTCCCACAAAACAAAGCAACAAAAATGAAATAAAACGAGCTTGCACCCCTGTCACCAAGGTGCCCCACATCAGCCCCCTACAGACTGCCCCTAGATTTCTAGAACCCGAGAGAAAAGGAAAATTCTGATGGGTTAAGCCAACTGCTATTTGGGGGGGTTTCTGTTACTCCCAGCCAAATCTAATCCTAACCGATACACAGGCTGAACAACAGAGAGAAAGAATTTAGGTAGCCTGGATAGGGGAGACCTCTCTGAGGACATGACATGTGGGCAGAAACCAGAGCAAAACTGACTTATGCAGTGCTCTGCCTTTGAATGCCTGTCCTTCCTCTTCCTACCTGGGAAAAGAATGTCCCAGGTAGGAAGCATCTTCCCATCAGCCAAGTTGGAAACCTAACCATTATTCTTGAGATTATCCCGTCCCAAATGCCCTGCATCTAATCTGTCACCAAACCCTATCGAGTCTACCTTTATATGTGCCTCAAGAACAAGAACAGAACACGTCCAATCTAAGGACTCTCGAGTCCATCCTCTCCTCCCCATTCCTTCTGCTAGGACAGGCCTGTAGAGGGTGAATGGTGCCCCCTAAAAGATACGCTCTAATCCCCATAACCTGTGTATGTGACCTTACTTGCAAAAAAGGGTCTTGTATACATGAGATCTCAAGATCTTTCTGGATGATCGGGGGTGGGGGGCCTAAATCCAATGACCTTCCTGATAAGAGGCAGAAGAGAAGACAGTGGGGGAGAAAGGGAGAATGCCACATGGAGGTAGAGGCAGAGATGAGAGGGCGTTCTGCAGCCACAGACTAAGGAGCGCCTGGAGCCACGAGAAGTGAAAGGGGCCAGGAAAAAGCCTCCCCTAGAGCCTGCGGAGGGAGCCCCGCCCTGCTGACACCCTGATTTCAGGCTTCTGGCCTTCAGAACTGTGAGATAATACATTCCTGTTATTTTAAACCACCAATGGGGCGCCTGGTGGCTCAGTTGGTTAAGCATTGGACTTCGGCTCAGGTCATGATCTCATGGTTTGTGGGTTTGGGCCCCACATCAGGCTCTGTGCTGGCAGCTGGGGGCCTGGAGCCTGCTGAGTCTCCCTGTCTCTCTGTCCCTCCCCTGCTTGTTCTCTCTAGCTCTCTCTCTCTCTCTTTCTCTCTCTCACTCAAAAATAAGATAACATTATAAGTTTTCAATTTTAAAATTTTAATTAATAAAAATTAATTTTTATTAATTAAAATTTTAATAATCTTATTAATTAAAATTTAAAATAACATTAAAAATTAAAATAACAGTAAAGAAAAATTAGGGGTGCCTGGGTGGCTCAGTCGGTTGAGTGTCAAGCTTCAGCTCAGGTCACAGTCTCACAGTCCATGAGTTCGAGCCCTGCCTTGGGCTCTGTGCTGACAGCTCAGAGCCTGGAGCCTGCTTTGGATTCTGTGTCTCCCTCTCTCTGTCTCTGCCCCTCCCCCACTTGTGCTCTACCTCTCAAAAATAAAAAATAAACATTAAATAAAATTAAAATGGTTAAAAAAAATTAAACCACCAGTTTGTGGCAATTTGCTATTGCAGTCGTATCAAACTAATACAAAGCATTGAGCAATATCAACTGTCTCCTGGTCCCAGGCTACAGAACTAGTCTATTCAGAATCATCTGTAGTAAAAATCTTTTGATCACGTATCTCAACAATCTGTATACTTTTTTTATGTTTGTTTATTTTGAGAGAGAAAATGAGCAGTGGAGGTGCAGAGAGAGAGAGAGAATCTCAAGCGAGCTCTGCACTGTCAGCACAGAGCCTGACATGGGCTCTATCTCATAAACCATGATTTCAGGACCTCAGCCAAAATCCAGTCAGTTGCTCAATGGGCTGAACCTCCCAGGAGCCTCTGTATATTTACTTATAACTATCAATGCATACAATTGCACTAATATATTATTTATGTTATAAAACATATCTAGGGGTGCCTGGAGGGCTCAGTCAGTTAAGCATCCAACTCTTGATTTCAGGTCATGATCTCAGGGTCGTGAGATCGAGCCCCACGTCGGGTTCTGCACAGGCATGGAGCCTGCCTAAATTTCTCTCCCTTTCCCACTGCCCATCCCGTCTTGTGCTCTCTCTCATTCTCTCTCAAAAAAGAGAAAGGAAGGAAGGAAGGAAGGAAGGAAGGAAGGAAGGAAGGAAGGGAGGGAGAGAGAGAGAGAGAGAGAGAGAGAGAGAGAAAGAAAAAAAGAAGGAAAGAAAGAAAGAAAGAAAGAAAGTAAGAAGAAAGAAACCATAGACATGAAAACAAATGGGACAGATGAGAGTGTAAAATGACACTACTTTGGAACTATTTGGCTGTTCTTAATATTTTTTTAATGTTTACTTAGTTTTGAGAGAGAGTGAGAGAGAAAGAGAGACAGAGTGTGAGTGGAGAGGTGGAGGGGGAGAGTGAGAGGGGGACGTGGAATCCAAAGCAGGCTCCAAGCTCTGAGCTGTCAGCACAGAGCCTGATGCAGGGCTAGAACACACAAACTGTGAGATCATGACCTGAGACGAAGTCAGACGCTTAACTGACTGAGCCACCCCGGCGCTCTTGGCTGCCCCTAATAAAGTTTAATATATACCTACCCCATGACCTAGAGATTCCATTCCTTGGTATTTACCCAAGAGAAACTAAAGCATATGTCCACAGAAGGATTTGCACACAAATGTTCACAGGACTTCATTAATAATGGCCTTAATAATAGCCCAAACTAGAAACGACCCAAATGTCTCTGAGAAGGTGAGAGAAAAAAAAATCATACTAGATCTCTACATAATTCATACTTCTCAGCTATAAAAATGGAATGCTTCTTTCCCCCTTTGGTAACAGGTGCCCCACCAGCTGTGTTTTTGGGATTGTGTTGAACCTATAGATCAATTTGGGGAGTATTACCAACTTAATATTAAGTCTTCCAATTCATGAACACAGAATGTTTTTCCATTTATTTAGATCTTCTTCAATTTCTTTCAACAATGTTTTATAGTTTTCAGAGTATAAATCTTGGTCTTCTTTTAAGTTTATTCCTAAGCATGAATGAAACTGTTTTCGTAGTTTCATTTTTTGATTGTTCATTGCAAATGTATGGAAGTACAACTGATTTTCATATATCGATTTTATATTCTGCAACCTTGCTGAATGTGTTTATTCAACGTGTGTGTGTGTGTGTGTGTGTGTGTGTGTACCTTAGGATTTTCTATATACAAGATCATGTAGGAATGAACTCAATACACACAGCAAATAAAACTATCAAAGCCAGGTACAAAAGAGCACACATGTATGATTACATTTACATGAGGTTCAAGAACAGGAAAACGAACCTACAGTGAGAGAAGTCGGAACAATAATAACCTCAGGTCAGAGGATGGGAAAGTAATGACTGGAAAGGGACATGAGACTTTGGGGGATGATGGAAATATTTTATCGTGAACTGGGTAGTAGTTATATAGGTATATGCATGTGTTCAAATTTCTTGAGCCAACATTTAGGATTTATGCATTTGATGACTAGTAAATTATACTTCAATTTAAACAAAAACACAGGGGGCACCTGGGTGGCTCAGACAGTTGAGCGGCTGACTTCAGCTCAGGTCATGATCTCATGGTTCGTGAGTTTGAGCCCCACATCAGGCTTTGTGCTTGCTGACAGCTCAGAGCCTGGAGCCTGCTTCAAATTCTGTCTCTGTCTCTCTCTCCACCCCCCAAATATAAATAAACATTAAAAAATTTTAAAGACACAAGGATGAAATTAACTATTAAAATGTAGTGGCCTAATAGTATCATTACCTATCTCAAGCCTTTCCTATACATAGGGATTAGCTTATCACTAGTGATATGCAGAATAAAGCGAGAATTCAAATAGCCTTGCCCATTTTCTTTTTCTGACTACTTATTATATCTGATCAGATCTTTTCTTTGTTTTAACTCCAAGATGTGGCTGATGAGTAGCTTACACCAGGGATAGGAAATGAATCAGTGCTCTTATTTTCTCCTTGTTCATTAGGGTTTTTTTTTTTTAAGTTTATTTATTTTTAGTAATCTCTACACACAGTATGAGGCTCAAACTCATGACCCTGAGATCAAGAGTCACTCTCTCACTCTCTCTTCCGGCTGAGCCAACCAGGGGCCCCATTGTTCATTAGCTTTAATCCATAGTTTTTATGCAGAAACCCTCTAAGCCACTTGCTTATTTTGTGAGGGTCATCCTAGTTAAAGCCAGATAATCTGATATATAAAGCTTCCTCAACCAGGCAGTTATAAGACGGTAATGCCTCATAATATGCTAAAAATGGCCCTGGAAAACAAAGGTAGGGACCCCTATCAGCCCATCCTCATGTGAGAGCCCCTGAGTACAAGATGGCACAAGGAGCCATCTGGAAGGCTCGCCAAGTGCTGATCGGTCTTTAAAAATTGGTAACAATGGAACTTGTAGTCCTTTCTTGTTCCCGCTCTGAGGTGCACTATTTTGCACACATACCACCTCTCAAGATGTGTCTACACTCAGCCCCACTACCCATCCCCCTTCCCGCTGGCTTCCTGGAGGCTCAAGGCTCATGCTTCTTGCTGCTGCCTGACAGAACACAATTTAATCACATGATCCCTTTCGGGCGCTCTTGATGGAGTTCCTTACCGGGACACCCAGCGCCAGCCCCAGCCAGTGTCATTAGCCTCCGCTCCTGCCTTCCCTGCCAGCACCACAGCCTCCCCGCTTGCTTCCGTCTCTCATAGCCTCTGCCTTTGCCGGGGCTGCCGTCTCTCCCCGGAACGTCCTTCCTGGCCAGCAGATTCCTTCTTCTGCTTCTAGACTTCCTGTAAATCTCACCTCCTCTCTCCAACCTTCCTTCTCTCCCCAAGACAGGGTGGACCCCTCCCTCATCTGGCTCCTAAGACACACGTTTTTCCTTCTTTGCATGTTGAACTTCACTTCTCAGCCATAAGTCCTCAAATGCTGGAGCGGCTTATTCATTTTCGAAAGAACAAGAATATGGCTGCTCGATCGTGGAGTAAGAAGCGGGGCCAAGGGGGCTGTGTTTCCAAGCCCAGCCT